TCTTAAGCTGAAAAATACGGCATTACAATGCTTGGCGTGTATGTATATTGAATGTTGTTTTACAGTGCAGCTGTACGGTCGTTTATTTTCAGCAACATGGCTATCAAAACTGAATGCGATGACGATGAAAACATTCCATTGGTAATTTGCTGTTTTATACACTGGTTTTGTTGTCGTGCGCCTCATCATATCGAATTTTAGATATTTCGGAAGCAGCAGCTGAATAACATGAACAGTTCGAATGATGTAAAAAGCTTTTCAGCGCAGAAGTACAAATCGGAAGAAGCGATGGATGGTTACGAGACGAAGAATCACGACCATCGTATAGCGCCAAGTTATGCTACCACCTGTTTGAATGATGTTAAAGCTTCCGCGCAGAAATTTGTGCCTGCGTCCAAAAACGAACTTGACATTAAAAGCGAAGACCTCCAACCCCTTAGTCTGTATTGTTCTCGTATGACGAAGGCAGCTACTACTGAAAGTTCACAGTTGCAGCCGAAGAAAAGACGCCAGACGATCAGTTCTGATGACGAAGATGAAAAACCCCTGCTGCTACGGTACGGTTATGTTTTTTGCTCGTTCGTGTTCCTCACCGATCGTACGTATTACAATACAGATGCACATTGACTTACGATTGGGTTACGTTCCGAGGAACTCATCGTAAGTTGAATATATCGAAAACTCGAATATGAATTTGACATGATAAACGAATAAGTTAATAAATCAGTGACTGCTGTCATTTAATAATTAAATAAACGAATAATTACGGCATCTAACTAAACACCGGTAATTGAAAAGTTAACATTAATAGCTGGAAGATGATTCTGGGGAGAAGGCTATAGCGAAAGAGTGATCACTTTGTTTTTCTTCTGATAATTCATGTTCGCGAGCATAACTCGTAGAAGGCACTAATGCGTCGGCACTTGTTTATAGTTCAGGAAGAACCGCTTGTTTCTTCAGGAAGATATCAAGTTTTGACTGAACAGTTTCATCTTTTCATCATAAATTTCTTTATAACAAGCAATTGCATTCTGTAATTGTCTTTCAAATTATGCAGGTAAAATCAAATATCATCGTATCGTCACCGTATGATACGTTGCTAGGCAGTATATGAGATGTTTACGCTCGCGATCGCTACAGAGGTTGAAGGCACATCGCTAACACACAGTCGTGAAGTCGAAATATCGTAATTCGTGCCTTAGTAAAGCGGGGAACATCTGTATAAAATTTAAAGCTTTCAAATTGCCTATCGCTCGGTTTTGCTCCATTGCTTCTGTGACGCCATCTTTTCTGCTACTGCTGCTTATTTTAGTGTTTTTCAGTAATCGAGCTATGGTCAACTTCTAAATGAAGTTAGCTACGCAACTTCGAAAACTGATTCATTGACAGGGTTGTTCAATCGGTAGAACGTCATATTCGTAGTCCAAAGATCATAGGTTCAAGCCACGGTTACGAGACTTGCCTGCTGAGGTAGATAAGCGAGTACCTTTTGTGAAAAGGAAAATAGGAACCTAAACACTCTTGCTTCCACTTAGCTGTTTAACTCTCTGAAAGGAACAGGGTCAGCATATGTTAATCAAAAAATTTTAAGGGACATCGACATCCCATCGGTTGCACATTTTATGCTTAGCTTAGGTTGCAACCGTTTTTGGAAAACCAAATTGCAATGTTTCCTTGTAAATGTCGCTTTGTTTTCCGCGGAATTGTGAGCCATGCCAGCCTGGACAAAATCATATGTGCTGAAGGAATGCCGATCAGCTGTGAATTAAGTTCAGGTCGAATTTATATTTTATTTATTTGCTTAAATGCTCCCGGAAAGACACTACTACGGACACTACCGACAAACAGCCAACTAAAATGATCCGAGAAATTGCGTTAGTGCACAGCAACAGCCGGACTAACGCTTTATGTTAGTCAACCTCTGGGCTGAACTCTTCGCTTTACAGCCAACACAACAACATCAACAACAGTTGTCTGATCCTTCGTCATGATTAGCGAAGATCGCCATTGCCTAGTCGCAATGCCCGCGATAGTCTTTCTCGTGCGATTTGTAGGAACTTATTGATGTACAGAATGAATGACTTGTTGTTACATTGCGTTTGTCGACTGCACAAAATAACTTTTTCAGACAATTTCGTAAAATATTGTTACCTTAAAGAAACAGGACACCTGCGATGTGCTTCACTCTAACTAAATGAAAGTATATCGACCTTGAAAATGCATGCGTTTAGACTCCAAAGGCTACGGTTAATTTCGACCCACCAGAAGTTGCATTTTCATCGCTGAAGTCGTTGGTATTCCAATAGTATTTCAAGTTATTCTCCATGAGGTAAATTTTAGACGCGAGTTTCATTTTGCACTGTCGTTCAAATAAAGGATGCGAGTGTTTTCCTGCGACTGTTTTGTGCAGCAGTCGATATCACTATTCGTTGTTGAGTTGCTGACTTTCTCAGCGGTCCTTCTTTTTAGTTCACAAAGTTTAAAAATCTGTATGACTAACTGATAAACTACTTTCGTACTGCGATAGTACTTTACAGAGGTCACAACCAGAATGGAAGACTGGTAGTGTGCTGAAGCACCTTAAACTGGTTTCGCTAAGCTGGCTTGACTGAAAACTCACTCAATTTGAAATACTGCTCAAGCGCTGCACGCTTGGGCAGCAATAACTGACCATTAAGCGGTAACATTGAAAAGTTACCTCTTTGGACTGAGCAGCGCAGCAGTTTCGGTCCATATCATCAGGGGTACTAACGAATTCAGTCATGATGATCGCTTATCTCGCAGCTTCAAATCGACCTTGGCTTCAGAGTGTATCTCGGAATTAAATTCCTCGCCAGTTCTCTCACCTTTCTTCTTTCTAAGGTAAATAAACGAGTACCAGTTCGTAGGATTGAAAACAACTTTATCTAGTATTAGAACTTATTGGGTTGAAACTGTTTTCGTAAGCAGTAACAGTCGGTATACGCTCTTCATGCTGCAAAGGGAGTTCCGCGTAGAAATTCCAGCCCGAATAGCAGACC